TGGGCCCGTCCGGGTGCTGGCCGGGTGGCCAGTGGAAGACATTCCCAAAGCCCAGAGGCCACTGATGCTGTAACCACGACCGCTCCCGACGTGGCCCGGGAGCCAGCTGGAGAGCGCTCACCCTCACGGCGCAAAGGGACGATCTGAGAGCTGCCGGAGGCGAGTTCAGCCATGCAGGGGGTCAGCCTGCCTGGGCAGGGCCGTTTGCCCGCAGTGGCCAATGCCAGGTGCCCCAGGGGGAGCAAACAGAATGGGACCATCACGTGACACACAGAGGCTAGGGACACATCCCTGCCCAGCCTGGCTAACAGCCATTGATGGACCCTCCCTCCATGAATCTATCCAGCTCTTTTTTCAACCATGCTAAAGTTCTTCTCTTCACCACATCCTCCGGCGAGGAGTTCCATGGGTTGACTCCGTGCTGCATGAAGAAAAATGTCTTTTGGGTTCTTTTAACCCTGCTCCCTATTAACCTGAGCTGATGTCTGTAATCAAACCGAAGCTCGATTTCCCATTCTCTTTTGTTTACCTGACAATAAATAACTTTCCTGGTCACGCTGGTTGCTTCCGTCTTTCTCCCCGGCGTGTGCTTTATGGCTTCTCTGTTCTTTCTGCCCCATTGCCCCTGGGACCTAAGCTACAGATCCCTGCAGCGCCCAGCAATCCCTGGGGCTCGCTCAACAAGTGGGGGACATGAAAGTGGGGGTAGGGGCATGCTGCAGGAGAGGGCAGCTTGGAAGTGCTCCGACCTCCCCACCTCTGAGCAGGAGCGCGAGGAATGACCCTGCCCCTCGGTGACGGGCCAGCCCGGTGACCATGCGGGAGCCTGTCCGGGGACCGTACGGGTAATCGAAGAGCTAATGTCAGAGCCAGGGAAGCGTGCGCAGAAGCAGCAGCGGGTCACTGTCTGTCCTTGGCCCGGCTGCGATCCCGTGTGCAGGGCTGAAGGCCACACGCCCAGCGTGTCGGTGAACGGGAAGGGGTCTGAATGCAGGCAGCAGGAACTGGGGGACGTGGGGCTGGACGTGGGGTCCGTCGCACAGGCCGATCTGTGCAGCTACCCGCCGAGGGGGTGACAGGCTGAGCGGGCCACGGTCTGTATGTAGCCACGTGGGGGCCCCAGCGTTGTTAGCGGGCTCTCCGGTCGGACAGCCCGACCCACGGCAGTGGCTGGAAGCCGAAGGGCGACATCCCCAGGCTGGTAAGAGGGTGTAAACTTGAAACTGTGAGAGAAATTAACCTGGGGCGGGCAAAATACGGCCCGGGAGCTGGATCCGGCCTGCCCAGCCTTTGGATGCGGC